CCTAATGGTAAGTTTTTTAGTCTAATTAGGTATTTTCTTATGTTTGTGCACAAATAATTTAAGGTGGCTTAAGTGTCAAAAGCACAAATAGTAAATGCCACAGACTTTAGAGACAGGTGATCACCACCAAAGGCTGATTAAAACTTAGTTTCCTTTACTCTGTGTGAAAGCACACAGTGCAATGCCTGTCTCGTGTGTGCTCAGGGTGGCTCCTGGGGCAAAGACTTTCCACCTTTAGTCCTTTTCTCTGTTTTTAAAAGGCACTTCTGGGGGAAGATATTTTCAGAAACAGTGAAACTCACTATATTAAGGACTGTTCTAAGTGCTTTATAAATGTTGACTAATTTGATTCTCATAGCAGCTTTGAGGTAGATTCTCTAACCTGAGGCACAGGGAGGTAAGTGATCTGTCAGAGTTGGGAAGTGAGAGCCTTAGGACCCAGGCGGTCTGAATTCACAAATAAGTTTCATGAAAATTATTTGTTCCAAGAAAGTAGCTACAAATTACTTCATGTAATTTAGCAGACTTAGAAATGTCTTGACTTGTGTGACCTTTTTGGTGCTCCCTGCATCATGTCACTTTACTTGTCTAGGGTCTCTATATTTCCCATGTTCAAGTAGTTTATGAGCTAGGAATAGTCTCTCAGTATACATCCCATTGGCAATCTCTGCAAGGGATCTTTGTGTTCAAATGGAATATTTTTTTTTAATATTTTAGGGAGAGATCACATAACTAGGAGAAGTAATACTTTTTTTAAAATATATTTTTATTGATTTCCGACAGGAAGGGAGAGGGATAGAGAGATAGAAACATCAATGATGAGAGAGAATCATTGATTGGCTACCTCCTGCACATCCCACACTGGGGATCGAGCCCATAACCTGGGCATATGCCCTGACTGGGAATTGAACCATGACCTCCTGGTTCATAAGTCAACACTCAACCACTGAGCCATGCCGGCCAGACAGAGAAATAGTATTTTTTATGAATGCAGCTAATTTACCTCATGTGCCAACACATAATTAACTATGCTGCAACCAAATAAGTTAAACTGTTCATTATGGTAACCTCCAGCCACATTTGGCTATTTAAGTTTTAAAGTTTGATATTAGATAAATTTGAAAACCATAAAGTTTTTCAGTTACATTAGCCACAATATTTTTGGTGCTTAATAGCTACATTTGGCTAGTGGCTATCATATAGTACAGCATACATACAGAACTTTCCAATCATCACAGAAAATTATTTTATACTAGAGGTCTGGCGCATGAAATTTGTGCACGGGTAGGGTCCCTAGGCCTGGCCTGCGATCAGGGCCAATCTTCCCCAGCTGTGTGTGGGGCGACTGGCAGGGCAATTGGGGACCCGGCGCCTCCTGTGTCCCCCACCACCCACCTCCAGTTCCTGGTTCCCCATCTGGCAATCGGAGCCTGTCAGCCGGGGAGTTGGGGGACCAAAAGGTTGTCCAACAGGCCCCCATTGGGCTATCAGGGTCTACAGGCTAGGGGCAGCTCCTGCGTTGAGCGTCTGCCCCCTGGTGGTCAGTGTGTGTCATAGCCAACCAGTTGTTTTGTTGTCAGGTCGATTTGCATATTATGCTTTTAGATAGATAGATAGATAGATAGATAGATAGATAGATAGATAGATAGATAGCAAGCACAGTTTTAGGCAGTGCTGTAGGTACTGCAGATTGACATGCTGTGGGTTTGTTTATATGAGATGACACTTTTAACTAACATCAGATGTCTTCTTGTAGATATCACTCACCCCATCCCTGATTTGACTGGATATATCACAGAGGGGCAGATCTATGTGGACAGACAGCTACACAACAGACAGGTATTTGACATTTGAGTGGTGCAGTAAAGCTTACAAATCTACTTTTCAGTTACTCTTTAGTGACTTGGACTTTGCTCTTGGGAATTTTTTTTTTTTTTAGAAAATAACACCTTAAATTGATTTTGACATGGCTGTAAACTTGTCATTTCTATGTACAACAGATTCTCGAATAGCATTTGTTTAATGTCATTTTGTTCTAAAGTTGATGAGATGCTGTAGGAACTTAACTCTTGTTTGTATCAATCAGCCTATGGGAAAACTAGTTTCATTATATGTCACTTTACTTCAAATCAAAGAACCCATCAATGACATTAAGAGGATTGACTACAATATCCTGGTGTGGCTAATTTCCACTTTTTCTTTATTGTGCTTTATAATGGAGTCAGTTGTCTTAAAGAATGTTTTTGGGTATTCTATTCCATAATGGTATAATCTACCAATCATATTAATAATACAAAAACAGATTTTTTTTATTGAGTTATAATTTATTAGTTTTAAGTATACCACATAATGATTCAGTATATGTACATATTGCAAAATGATCACCAAAATAAGTCCAGTTACCATCCATCATCATAGTTAAAAATTATTTTTCTTCTGATGAGAATTTTGAAGATCCACTCTCCTACCTACTTTCAAATATAATACAGTGCAGGCTTTTTGTTTGTTTTTTTTGTGTGTGTGTTTTTTTTTTAAATCCTCACCCAAGGATATTTTTCCATTGATTTTTAGAGTGAAAGAGAGAGAGAAAGACAGAAATATTAATGTGAGAGAAACACATCAATTGGTTGCCTCCTGCATGTGACCAACCAGGGCCCAGGCAAGGGAGGAGCCTGCAACCGAGGTATCTGCCCTTGACCGGAATCAAACCCAGGACCCTTTGGTCCTCAGGCTGATACTCTAGCTACTGAACCAAACTGGCTAGGGCTACAGTGCAGTTTTATTAACTGTATTCACTATGCTGTACATTACATCCCTGTGACTTGTTCATTTTATAACGAGATTTGTACCTTTGACCCCCTTCATCTATTTTGTCCGCCCACCCCGATTCCCCGCCTCAGGCAACCACCAGTCTGTTCTCTATTGAAGTACTGATGGGGTGGTCATAATAATCTGGCCACTCAGTGTATTCATGAGCTTGGGGAAGTGGGGGGCGGGGTTTGTTTTTAGATTCCACATGTAAGTCAGATCATATGGTACTTACCTTTTCCGTTTGACTTATTTCACTTAGCATAATTACCCCTCAAGATCAATCCATGTCAAAAAGACAAGATTTCATTCTATTTTTATGGCTGAATAACCAAAAACAAATTTTTGATGGTTCTGTACTAGATCAGCTTTTAGGTGGAATTATTGTTAGTCTTACTATTTTGTATGTGATTTTGAGTCAGAGTTCAGAAGACCACTTAGGCAGATATTGAAAAGTCAGTTTTTCAATATAATCTTGTACTGTTATATAGGTTTTTGGATTTGATTCTCAAAAGAAATATTATGCCATAAAGAGTTTCATACCAGGAAAACATGTTAAAATTCACCTAGGAAACAACTGCAGCAGTTTTATGTAATTTAAGGGATAATAACAAGTTTCCAAATGCTACTTACTACAAGTACAGCTTGAATTTTGTACTAATTTTTCCCCTCCATTCTACCCAAGATTTACCCGCCTATTAATGTGCTGCCCTCATTATCACGGTTAATGAAGTCTGCTATTGGGGAAGGTATGACCAGAAAGGATCATGCTGATGTGTCTAACCAGCTGGTATGTATATCTTCTTAATGATGGCGCTTAAAGAAGTAAATGCCTTTCTTAATCTATTCTTTCTGCTGTCTTATACCTCCTGTCTTTATCCCATATCACTTTTCTTTTCCCCATCCATATAGAATTTTAGTATAGGCTTCATATGTAATATAAAAACATTCATTAGAACCAAGCAGTCTCTTTTTCATAAGGATGGATGCTGGTAACGAAGATTAAAAATCATATGCTTGAAACACTTTCTAGTGCTATACAAAGTAGCTTCTAAATAAAAAACTAAGCCATAAGGCGGTTTTAAATTTTTATTAGTAATCATAATAATAATTATGGAGTATTCCTGAAAGGATTCTTTAACTTTCCTAAAGTAGAAATGGTACACCTCATAGCACAGATGTTTTTCTTGAGTAGAACTTCAAGATGGATTACTCCATGGTATGAGTTCTGATTTTCAAATATTCTATAAAGTGTAAGCTCATTGAGACATCGAGGAAGTGTATTTTTGTAGCAGTGTCTATTGCATGCCTGAAGGTTCCTGTCCGGGTGAGACCGCTTTCTAATAAGGTCCTCTGATACTTTCATGGGTTTTATTTATGTGAATTGTGTTTGTAAGTAACGTGAAATTCCTTCTGTGTTCTCTTACGAAGACAGCTAAAGCAATACACTTACACAGTCCAGATTATCATTAACATTTATACAATCTTATGTCTGCGTGTGAACCTTCTCTCTGTAGTATGCGTGCTATGCTATTGGTAAGGACGTACAAGCCATGAAAGCCGTGGTGGGAGAGGAAGCCCTTACCTCGGATGACCTTCTGTACCTGGAGTTCCTGCAGAAGTTTGAGAGGAACTTCATCGCTCAGGGTGAGAGGCCTCTTTTCTCACAAATACCAACAGCCTCATGGATAGTTTTGAAGACCCCTTTCCCAGTTTGAGAGATTTTACATTGGGATCTACATAATTTTTCTTCTGATTAGAGAAGAGGGTCTTTCAACTCTGTTGTGTCTTTGTACTTAGTGCTTTGGGTCCTTCCCCTCTGCCTTCCACTCTATTATCCAGTTATTTAGCTCCCCCTTTATTTTCTCCCTTCCTTACAACTGGCTTCTATTACACACCTCCTTCCTCCTACCCTCTCTGCAGCCATCTTCGCTAGCTTTGGGGGTTTGGGACTTCTCTGACCCATCTGTTTTCATCTCCTTTTTTTGATATATCTTTCTGCTTCTTAATTGTTTATATTCCCAGAGGCGTCGTTGCCTGTGCTTCCCTCCCTTCTTCCTCCTCCCCTGCAAAGCTTTGGCTTGTTCCCTATGCATTGACGGAATTGCTATGTATGATCCTTACCCCCTTTCTGAAGCCCTAATCGCACATCTTCACCTGGGACACCTTACTTATGCCACCACCCCTGAGGCTCAGCCTGGTTAGAACCAAAGTTTTTTTTTGTTTTTTTTTAAATATATTTTATTGATTTTTCACAGAGAGGAAGGGAGAGAGATAGAGAGTTAGAAACATCGATGAGAGAGAAACATCGATCAGCCGCCTCCTGCACATCTCCCACTGGAGATGTGCCCGCAACCCAGGTACATGCCCTTGACCGGAATCGAACCTGGGACCCCTCAGTCCGCAGGCCGACGCTCTATCCACTGAGCCAAACCGGTTTCGGCTAGAACCAAAGTTTTTACCCAACTGACCACCTGCCTAGCCATTCCCTGTTCAGTTTCTGTCTGCCTCGGCATGACTATTGTCCTGGTTACTCAGACTCAGTAATTGGGCATTGTCCTGGGTGATGTCGAAACTACTGACCTCTGACCACTCTTTGAGTGGGACCACACTTTGAGTCTTAAGACCTAGTCCACACCTTTGGTTTCATCGTTCCTGGTTGCAAAATGCCAGCTTTTTCCATTTCCCTGATCCCTTCTATACTATTGCCAGAGTAAATTTTACTGATTGTCCCTCTACTAAAAAGTTCAGAATGGTTTTCATTTCATAGCCTATGTAGTGGAGGGTTTTCAAGCTGCTTGGCTTGGTTTCTCCTGCCAGTCCTGCTAACGCTGCTAATACTCTTCCTGACCTCAGTGGTACTTAGAACAGATGTGTTCATTTTGGAATAACGCATAAAGCTATGCACTAGGATTTGTACACTTTTTTATTTATGTGTTAAGTTTTTTATTGACATTAAAATCTCCAAAATATATGAGTTTTTTAATGGATACCTTAATACCTTAAAAATTAGAGATGAAGTTCTTCTGGTAGAGTAAAGAATCCAGAACTTCAGCCACTCTGGTTTCTTAGTTACGAAATGAGATTTATTTGCATAAGGTTGATTTCTGCTATTAAAAAGAGTATCAACAACAATTTTGAAAACCATTGACCTATTCAAGTACTCAATTGGCCTTTCTAAGTATCTGTCAAATTCAGCCTCTGTTCCTGGGAAACTTTTTCTCACTCCTCTGGACACAACACTGAGTTTGGTTTCCATTGTCCAAAGTATTTAGGTCCCCACCCAATTGTCAAGAAAATTCCCCTTCTCTGCCCTCCCCTTCTCCCCTCCACACACACACTAGACTGCCTGCCTGCTGTCTCTAGCCCTTGAGCCTCTTTCCTCTGATTCAAGATGGTGCTTATTGTCTGTGGCCTCATTTCCACATTCAGTCCCATCCAGTCTGGGGAGACCTAACTGCTCTGTGTCTCTTCTTTTTTATACTTCATGCTTCCAGTGCTGGTCATATAACAGAATACATCCTGAATAACCTGGTAAGTTGGAAGTAGTTTGCCTTTATTCATCCAATCTCAATTTTTTATAAGGTCCTTATGAAAACCGCACTGTCTATGAGACTTTGGACATTGGCTGGCAGCTGCTCCGGATTTTCCCCAAAGAAATGCTGAAGAGAATCCCTCAGAGCACCCTGAGCGAGTTCTACCCTCGGGACTCCGCAAAGCACTAGCTGCCGTCTCATCATTGGCTCAGTACCCTTGTGTAATACTGGTTCCGTTTATTGATTCCTTTCGCACTTGCCCATCCCCACTTTTGTGTTGGAGTTTACCGTGTTACCCTGTAATTAAAAACAAAGAATAGGTGACATATTGTGCCAGTGTTGCAATGTCTTAAACTGCTAACAGACTTTAAAATATTCCCTGCTCAGAAAACTTGGATCTTCAATGCTTTGTTTAAAGTAGCTGCAGGGATGGAGGCGAAGTTTTCTTACTCATGTGTATTTGTAAATAGTGGGATAGTTGCCTAATAATGTCCTCATTATCTGAGTCTCTCAGACCTTCCTTCTCCACCTCTTGAGAGTATCACTATCTGAAGCTATGATGCTTTGATCTCCAAATTGGGCAGGATCAGGACTACAAGAAGCCTCTGCTTAGAAGAGCCTGAGCTCTCTCCTGAGCATTTGTGTTTGGATTGTGGTGTACCACTAGGTCTGTGCTGCTGTTCTAAGCAGATGGTTTTTACTGTCCACCTGCTCGTTCCTATTTAATGAATAGATTAGAAAAGGAGTTGGGACTCCTGTGTGTTCATGTGCTCCTCCCTCTGAGGACATGGTGTGGGAGAAAGCTCTCCTGTGTAGGGACATGTTAAACTGTTAGAGAGCAGCCTTTGGAAAACCCCTGTTTGGTCCTGCTTTCTGACCTATCTCTGCCTCTTCAGGGTAATCTTGTGGCACAAGTGATAGCATTTAAAAGCTTTAGCCTTTTAACTCCTGCTTTTTCCTCTGCTGTGAGCCTGAGCTGTCTTCTATGCACTCCGCCTTGTCCACTGTGTGGTCTCTGTGTTCTTTGTTAGTTGGATGCAATAGCAACTTCTCTGTGCATTCCATCTTTCAAGTTGTGTAAAGTTCACTTTTTTCTCAGAGGATGTATGTGGGAGAGGCAGCATGATTATATTTTAATGTAGAAAATGTGACATCTGGATATAAAATGAAAATAAATATTAAATTAAATGGAAGTGACTGAAAGTGACTTTGTGTCTTCAAATCAGAAAAATGGTGTCAATAAGCAAATATATATAATAATACACCTCTTTGATTCACAGTTTAGAACATCATGCCCAACCCCTTGAGTTATAAGGAGCATGGCCCAGGTTTTGTACTCTCTGTTTCTCAGGCTGCCCTGGTCAAGCTCTTTTCAGTAATATCTCTTCCAACATGCTGTAGTTTGATCTAATGCTGAGAGTTGCTACAGGTGTTCCTTGGAGTTGTTTCAGACATTTTCAGGACCTCTAGAACCCATCTGCCATAAATGAAAGTGGGTGATAAATAGAAAATGAAATACATATTTAAACAAGTCAAAGCATGCTTCAAATAAAATTTTAAGTAGATGTCCAGTATATCAAGAAAACACGCTGGTTGCAGCACCAGGGTGTGGCATCATGGGGACATCCTGTTTCTCATCTTCAGCAAGGCAGTTGTAGGAGACGGAGAGGAAAGGGCTTGGTCATGGCCAAAATTGGCCAGGCCGTGTTCTAATCCTGGGGCTGCCACTAACTGCATGGCCTTGCTTAGTAATTTGACAAGTTTGAGTCTGTCTGCCTATGTTCCTTATAGGGTTTTTCCAAGGACTAGAGCTTTTGTCTGTGGAACACCAGAACAGCATCTGGTCCATGGTAGGTGCTCAGAATAGGCTGCTACTATTAACAAACCTTTATTAGGCAGATTGACTTATTACTCTTACATAGTATTTAGGATTAGTTGGTTAAGTAGTGTACTAAATAATTGGTTATGTTTTAGTGAAAACACTTTCTTAGTGTACCTTTTTATAATCAGTGATTAAAGCTAATTAAAGGACCCATTAAATTATGCTTTAACTAGAGGCCCGATGGGGTCCCTCAGTCTGGCGGGTGATCGGGCCAGAGGGTTGGTGGGGCGGGCAGGCGGGCGGCTGGTCCAGGAGAGGGACAGCGGGAGGTTGGCTGTGGGAACACACTGACCACCAGAGGGCAGCTCCTGTGTTGAGCATCTGCCCCCTGGTGGTCAGTGCATGTCATAGCAACCGGTGGACTGGTCATTTGGTTGCTTAGGCTTTTATATGTATATAGATATGAATCCTCACTGTGATCAAATATTTTAAAAAAATTTCAGTTGGCTTAAAGTATTTGGGAGGAGAAAAAATATCTTCAAAGTTCTGGCTAACAGCATGACTCATGAACCATGTATTGTTGGCAGTTGACTGTCACTTCAGTTTGTGAGATTCCCTGTAAATAAAAAAAATGTTTTAAGACTAATGTAGTAAATGCCTCACTAGGATGTTTCATTTTTAGCAAGTGTGGACAGTATAAGGTGTCTGAGGTCAACAAAACAGTGTCTGCTTTTGGAATTTTCCATTATACTGATAAGGGAAAGTGAGCTTAATCTAGTATTAGGGGCCAACAGAGAATAGTTCCCCACACTAAACTGAAAATACCATTTAGAGACAACAAAAACTTAGCAAGCCAGTTCCTGAAGGAGAATTATGTTTTGTGGGAAACCTAAGTACAAAGAAATGGGTGTTAAATATGAAAGTTATATGATGCTATATATAGAGAACTCTAAAGATTCCACCAAAAAAACTACTAGAACTGATAATGAATTCAGTAAAGTAGCAGAATACAAAATAAATATTCAGAAATCAGCGCATTTTTATATGCCAATAACGATCTATCAGATAAATTAAAAGTTCCATTTATAACTGCATCAAAAACAATAAAATACCTAGGAATACATTTAACCAAGGAGGTAAAAGACCTGTACTCGGAAAATTATAATACATTCGAGGGAGAAATTGAAGATAAAAGTAAATGGAAGCATATTACCGTGCTCACGGATAGGAAGAATTAATGTAAAAATGTCTGTACTACCCAAAGTAACGTGTAAGTTCAAAGCAATCCCTATCAAAATACCAATGGCATTTTTCACAGAACTAGAACAAATAATCCTGTAATATTTTGGAACCATAAATGATTCTGGAGACAGCAACTTTGAGAAAGAAGTTAATCTTTATCCTCTGTTTCCTTGACTCTTCATTAAAGTGTCTTGAAAATTCATAACACAGAAAATGAAAGTCATGTTCCTCACTCAGCTACCGTGACTTCATTCCAAACCATTTTCCAGTTTGGTGTTGAACGTGGACCTGCCTAGCACTCAAACCATGTGGTGTCCTCAGCTGCCCCCTCCTCATATGAAACCCTGCTGTGGCAACAGTGAGCTGGTGACCGATATTGAGAAACTGAGACATCTCTGCCAGTGACTCATCTAAGTCACAGGGCTTTATATTGTCAGCAAGAATGGCAAGACCTGTCTGGGAAACTTGGTAAATGTTTTCAGGCACCTGAGCAACCTAGGAATTGTTGTTCCCTCCCTGATCAGCCCCACACAGTTCCTTTTTAAGAGAAAAGAAAAACCTCTGCCTGTGGCAGTCCCTGAGGTGGAAGGCACAGATAAGTAAGATATGGGCCTGGCCAGACTCCTCTGTGGGTGAGTGAGGGTCCCTAGGCGAGGCTAGAACACAGGCCTTGGCTGTGAATGGCCGCTGCAAGTACTACACATAGGACGGACCACTTTTCCTGAAGGATCTCATCTCCAAACTCCAGAGCTTTGCATAAATGTAAGAAATTTGTGACTTGTTCAAAGTGACATAAGGAATGGCAGAACATGAGCTGGAACCTAGGCCTTTAAGCCTGGTCTAGTGCTCTTTCTATAATATTGTGTTAATATCCAAGTTTACTCCGTGACTCGAAACAGGCAGGCGCAAATTCCAACCACTATGGAAACCAGACTTTTATGTTGTGGGTAAAAGTCCAGTCTTTTATGGGACATAATGATGTTGTGAATGTAAACAAAAGACCCTGGTGGGCTAGGGTCAAGAATTGCAGAGATCCCACTAAAAAGTGAAGATGTGGGGGGAAGGAAAGATAGGGTTGCATGTAGACAATAGCCTCAGAAAGGATCTTGATTGCTTTCTAAGCAGTTGTATTCTTCATTTCCACGAGGGGGCAGCAGCTCCTGGGCAGCCTTGCATAGGCTGTACATAGCGCAGTAATGGTGATAGGCAATTTTCACTGGCGGCAGCAGCAGGGAGGTCACAGTTCACGGAATCAAACAGTGGCGGGGTTTTGTTCTGTCTTTTTGAGCTACATTAGCTTGGGATCTATAAGGGAACATGCTCTAATAAAAATACACCAAAGCAAGCAAAAACTGGTGCGAAGAGCCCCGTGGAATCAGGAGATCTGGGATAGAAGGATCAAGCAGATCCTTTGGTCAAACTCCTGATAACTAAAAGCCCTTTTAAGATTTGAAACGGTGATGCCCAGCTTCCAGTGCATGTGGAGCTGCCTCAGGAGGCGTCCACTCCAGGGATGGGCCTTTGGTGCTCGGAATGTTCACCAGAGGTAAATCTTGCCTCTGTGACGCCACGCAGTGCTGTCCTTGGCCTGTTTCCCAGGGCTCTTCCAGGCAATAACCCTCCACTGCATCGATGATAATTGCCAGCTTTTCTAAGACTTCCGTCTAATTATTCCTAGTTCCCCCAACCATCCCTCATTGATGAAATGATTCACCCCTTCAATAAGTGGATAGGATTAAGACCCAGATCCATCCTTGTAGAGCAGGCATCTTTACATTTTTGTTCTTAGAATCAAGTTCTCTGGAACTGAGGTCATGAAAACCTTGAACATGGTCTTCAGGACCGACTTTCTTGGAGGCCAGGCCTCTGAGTCCAGCTTGGGTACTGGGAACCTCTGCTCTGCACTGAGACGTCCTGTTCTCTGGTTCTGTTGTACTTCCCCCGGGACCTACTGTTCAGTAGCGCTCATGTGTAACCTAGCACCAGGGAAGTTTCACTAATGGTTTACTTAATAGATACTCATTGTTCTGATAAGACTCAGAAAGTACAGATAAGCACAAAAAAATAAGGATTCCATAACCCTACCACTCAGAGGAAACAACATTTTGTTGTATAGAATCCCTTAACAGTCATGGCTTTGCCCACCTATCTTATAAAGCCAAGCCCAAAGCAATTATGGCTTCTTTCTCCCGTAGACCATGTAGAGACGTTAACGGGAGTCATGTCAAGAAGAGAGATGTGTAAGCTATAAACTCTTAGT